TGGATGGGCAGCTACTGGGGGCGAATCCGCCTCCGCCTCCGCCGCCGCCGCCGCCGCGCCGCGCCGCCGCCGCCGCCGCCGCCGCCGCTGTTCGCCGCCGCCGCCGCCACCGCGCCGCCCGCCGCCGCCGCCGCCGCCGCCGCCCCCGCTGCCGAATCGCCGCCGCCGCGCCGCTGCCGCCGCCCGCTGCCCCGCCGCCGCCGCCCGCCGCCGCCGCCGCCGCCGCCCCCGCCGCCGAAGCCGCCACCGCCGCCGCCACCGCCGCAGCCGCCGCAGCCGTTGCCCCCGCCGCAGCCGCCGCAGCCGCCGCCGCCGCCAACTGTATTCTGCATTGTTTTTTGAGAGGGATTGTATGGGGGAGGTCGCATCGGGTTCGCAGCGCATGCTCCGAATTTGGAGGCAGAACGTGTGTTTTGAAGTGTTTTTTGCGAAGGATGGTGGGGGGGGTGCCCTCATTGGCTCGGGTTGGCTCCCAGTCGCCTGGGGGAAGGGATGTATACTAAGAGAACACAGTCTGATAAACCCCTCCCCGCTTTACACCACCTGCGCCCAGAAGGCTGGTGGGATTTGGGCTCTGGGGCGTCCTCGGGAGGCTCTGATGCCACTGGGAGCCGTCCTGTGGCGATCTTGGCGCCCCTTGGCGGCATGCTGGGGCTATCGCGAGCCAGCCATCTTGAGCTATCTCGTGCCATCTTGGAGGCTATCTTGGGCTACCTGGGGCCCTCTTGGAGCCATCTTGGCCCATCTCGGACCCTTTGACGCCTCGCGAAGCCTTTGTCACGACTCCGGGCGAGAGGGGTAGGGGGATGGTCAAACTACTCACAAGCCGCACGCCGTCTCTCTCACTCCCACCCGCCCTCCCGACAGAAAAGTCGCACTCAAGTCTCAGCATGGACAGGGGCCGCCATCGGCAACCATCGGGAGCATACGCCAACCAGGTGCGCGACACCCGCGAGGTGCGCCGCGCCAGGGCACCCCCACCATCCCTGTCGAATAATAGCAGTGCAACATGATCGTGGGGCGCCCGCGCATGGTCGAATCTTTTGTGCACCTCTCATGAGTTTTCGACCGGGGTGGTGGGCCTGCCCACGTGGGGCAGCTTGCCGCCCCCCCGCGTCCCCGCCAAGAGACTGAGTAAAAGCATCGCGGGGCGCCGAGACACGCTGCAGAGTTTGCCGCAGCGTGCGTTTTGATCGGGGTGGCGTGGGTGTGGGCATTGTTCCTGGTTTGTCGCCAGTCGGGTGGTTTTGGAAGTTAGGAGCAGGGGAGTATTCCCCACGGGGAAGAAGGGTGTTGGAATAACGAGTTCGTCAAACTACCTAGGTCCTAAGGGCGCGGTGGGATTCACAGCAATTACGTGCTCTGGGAACTCCTGCGTTTTCAAACAGATTTTATGGACCCATGGTTGCCCGACTAATTGTGATCTTGAGTTAAGAATATAAGCACATCTGGCAACTCGAAGGGGCAGAGGCTATGTGAGCAGTTATGGGTGCGTGCTGCATCAGATACCATGGAACGCTTCCCGTGGGGCATCGCTGGTCCGACCTCAATATCTTGATGCCCGCCGCGTCGAGACGACTGCTGTCCACGGTCGCCGGTCGCGTCGCCACTGCAAGCGCCCCGCAACGCCAACCCTCGACAACGATGACCTCAAATTCTGCTTGACAGGTCGCAATCTCTCCCCCTCTTGCTCGAGCTGCGTCCCCCTCGAGGATGGAGAGCCCCTGCGAATCTTTCAGCTCGGCGGGTCGATCTGCCGCGATGGCCGACAGTCCGAGGCCCAAGGGCACGAGGAACAAGATCGGGCCGGGGTCTGCCCGTGGGCGGGCCTCGTCGCACGGCGACTGGGCGCCGCCCGGGGCGGACGCGTCGGACCCGTTCTTCTCCGCCGTGCGCGCGGCCGTGCGCGCGGAGCTGGGCGAGTTCGCGGCGGGCGCGTGCATGCGGGAGGCGGACGGCCGCCTCCTCCTCCTCCTCCTCCTGCCCCCCTCCACTCCTCCTCCTCCGCCTCCTCCTCCTCCTGCCCCCATCCACTTCTCCTCCTCCTCCTCCTCCTCCTCCATCTCTTCCTCCATCCCTCTTCCTTGTAAATAACTCCTCCCTGTCGTACCGCGAGACGGGTCGGTAGAGCGGGCTGGGCGTTTCGCCAGAGACCTCAACATTTCTGGTTTTGAAGCTCGAAGTTTGGATCAGTATCACGGATTGAGGACGGGTTATTTTCAAAATGTGGCTCTCGTCTTGGCGCCGCGCATACTTTTCAAGATGTACAAGCGTTTCATGGATGGTGGGCGGGTCGTTTTCAAATGGTGGCTCTTGCTTTAGCGCCGCGCACATTCGTTTTAAGAGTTTGGAAGATGTTCTCGTATGGAGGGCGGGCCGTTTTCAAGATGTGGCTCTCGCCTTCGCGCCGCGTGCAGTCGTTTTAAAGTTTGCAAGGGATTCACGGACGGTGGGCGGGTTGTTTTCAAACTCATGTTCTCGCTTCAGCGCCGCGCACATTTGCTGTAAACGTTTGGAAGCGTTTTGCGGATGATGGGCGGTTCCTTTTCAATATGTGGCTCTCGCCTTAGTGCCGCGCACATTCGTCGTAAGAGTTTACCACAGGTTCAAGGATTATTATGGTTGATGCCCCAGAACTGATGTTTGGGCACGACTTTAGGATTGTCAGGGCGCGACAGTGACAGCATTGATTTGTGGTGTCGACGTCCCAGAAATCGTATTCTGGCATGAAAACATGATTTAGGATCGTCATGTCGCAGCAGTAACTTTGATCCGCGGCGTTGCAGCCCCAGGAATGGTGTCTGGCACGGTTGATGAATTCAGTGGATTTTCTTCCGACGGGGCCCTTCCCGCAGGGAACATATTTTTGTAGGAGTCTATTGAGAGAAAGTTTGGAGTATGGTTTATTGCAACAACGTTGGTGGGTCTTGGGTTTGCACTGGTGGGGCGCGTGCGGCCTCCGCGCGCGATCGCACCTGCACCTGGGTTTGCACTTGTCCTCCTCCTCCTCCTCGTTCTCCCCTGCCCCCTCCACTCCACATACTCCTGCTCCGCCTTCTGCTCCTCTCGTCCTCCTCCTGCTCATCTTCTCCCGCTCCGGCTGCTACTGCTACCCCCTCGTGCTGCTGTTCTACCCCTCCTCTCCCCCCCACTCTTCCCACTCCTTCTCCTTCTGCTGCCCCTCCTGATCTTACTCGCTTTTCTGGCCCTCTCCCCCCCCCCTCTTGGGCCGTCTTCGGCGCTTCTGGGGCCGTCTTGGAGCCCTCTTGGGCCCCTCCTGGGGGCCTCTTGGGCCGTCTTGGGGCGGTCTTCGGGGCCTCGTCGGCCGTCTTGGAGCGTCGGAAGCTCGAAAAGTCGAGGACCCCCAAATAATTGAACAGCTTATGTGAAACCAATGATTTTGGTCTCTCAGGGCCATCTTGAGAAGGCTGCATGGGGCTCTCCTGGAGCGTCTCGCAGGCTTCTCTTGCCGTCTTGGGGCCATTTTGGGCGTCTTGGACCGATCGTGCGGCGATTCGGGGCCCTCTTGAACTGTCTCGGCGGCCTCTTGGGGCCCTCTTGGCCCGTCTTGGGGCCTTCTTGGGCCCGAGAATGTACTGCGGGACGCTGCGACGGGCCCCTGAGGGCACGCCGGGAGTCCAGGAAGATTTGGCAATTTCGGGTCCGGGCCCTTTAAGGATTTTTTAGGACTGAGAACTGACGCTTAAGGGATTAGGTTCAGTGCCTGAGGACACTCCAAGTCGCGGCTGACTTTTCTAGCTATACGAAGCCCCTTGCCACAAAAATAAAAGGCGAAGCGAAACTTGTATGATCACACATTTCAAAGGCGTGTGAGTCCTTTTTTGGCAAACAGCTGGCCTTTACCTTTGTAAATGCCGCATGCGTTTAAACATCCGATCGTGACAGTGGAGGATACTTTGAACGGAGTGCCCATTTTCAGAAGGAATCGTACTCCATCTCTGCAACTATATGTTTCGCTGGCCATGTGTGCAAGGATGTCTCAAACGATACCCACATGTTGAGCACCAACCGCCCTCCATCTGTGTAAGCATTGAAAGATTTTAGGACGAGCATGCGCGGCGCTACGGCGAGAAACAGCTTTTGAACACATTTTTTCGAAGCGTTCAAGACGTCTGTGCGTGCCGCTTAGGCGAATCCACATTTCGAACACATACTTCCCTACTTCGATGTAACTGTTGGACATTTAGGATTGATGAACATATATCAGTTGGTCGGAGGTCTCCTGCGGAACGCCCATATTGCCCTACTGGTGCCCTTGTTCGCGTGGGGGGAGGAGGATGAGGAAGAGGAGGAATTAACATAACAATAGGAGGATGGTGCTCGCGGCGAAGAAGGTGATGCTGAAGATGAATCTGAAGATGGATCATATGAAGGCTATGGTGATGATCATGCTGTTGCTGATGATGATGATGATGCAGATGATGCTGCCGCTGCAGATGATGATGATGCTGATGATGATGATGAGGATAATGATGATGATGATGATGATGATGATGATGATGATGATGATGATGATGATGATGATGATGATGATGATGATGATGATGATGATGATGCTGATGATGATGATAATGTTGCTGCAGATGATGACGATGATGTGATGGTGGTGGTGGTGATGCTGAGGAGGATAGATGATAATGATGCTGATGATGATTATGATGATGCTGACGCTGATAATGACGATGCTGATGATGACGATGATGCTGGTGGTGATGATGATGCTGCTGATGATGCTGCTGATGATGCTGCTGATGCTAATGATGAGGACGATGCTGATCAGAAGGAGGAGGAGGAGGAGGAGGAGGAGGAGAATGAGGCTGAGAAGTATGATCGTGACGGCGACGAAAATCGTGAGGCCGTGCCCCGCTCCTCCTCTCCCTCCGCTCGTCGTCGTCCTCCTCCTCCTCGTCGTCGTCGTTGTCCTCCTCCTCCTCCTCCTCCTCCTCCTCGTCCTCCTCCTCGTCCCCTCCGCCGCGGAGGCGGTGCGGAGCGAGGTGGACGCGGCCCTGCAGGCCTGGAGCGGCGGCCCCTGCAGGAAGGCACCCCTCCTCGGTGTGCTCCCCACTTTCCTCGTGCTCGTCCTCCTCCTCCTCCTCCTCCTCCTCCTCCTTCTCCTCCTCTCCTCCTCCTCCTCCCCCTCCTCCTCCTCCTCCTCCTCCTCCTCCTCCTCGTCCTCCTCCTCCTCGTGCTCGTCCTCCTTCCTGCTCTATCTTTCTTTCTTCCCAGAATCTTGGTGCCAGTTTGTTGGTCGAGCTGCCTGGTCTGGGCTGCGACCGCTTAGATTGCCACTGAGAAATCTTTCAACTTGCGGCACCATGTATGTTGGGAAACAAGGATGCCGCCACACAGGAAAACAAAAACAATCCTCGTGCTCCTGCGGCTTTTTGGGGTCCTCGTTGAGCTCCTGCGCATGTCGGCCACGTCCAGCAGTAATTCGCGCAGGTCTTCCGTCACAGGCGATGCACTTCATAGATTCCTGCTACAGTAGCTGCCAGTGGCCGTGCGGGGAGCTGCCCAGTAGCCGATGGGTTTGGGTGGCGCATGCGGGCGGTGGCACTGGGGCCTTCGGTGGAGCTCCCTATGGGGCCACGAACCGTGTGAGGGGTGTGCCGAAATGGGTGTGGGTGACGCATGCGGGCGGTGGCACTGGGGCCTTCGATGGAGCACCTTATGGGACCACGAAGTGACGAAACGAGTGAGGGGTGTGCCGAAATGGGTGTGGGTGACGCATGCGGGCGGTGGCACTGGGACCTTCGGTGGAGCTCCCTATGGGGCCACGAAACGTTGTACTGGGTGGGTGAAACGCAGGGAGGAAGGAGGAGGGGGAGGAGGGGGAGGAGGGAGGAAAAAGGAAGGAAGGAAAGAAGGAATGAGGAGATGCGGGGACCGTCTCGTCAAAACGAGGACCCAACACCACAGGATGGTTGGGAAAAAACATTCAAGAACACACGGTTTCGCAACATCAGTTCTTAAAAAGAGCTTGCGGGCGCGCTCTTGCGAATTCTTGAGAAAGCCATAGTTTTTTCCCTTCAACATCTGCATGGTATTCTGCCAAATGGGCCTCTGGCGCCGCATGCCGACACCATTCGCACGCCCTTGCGCGCGTGCTGGGGGGGGGGGCACGATCCGTGTCAAATAAAACCATGCGGGCCTTTTTTCGCGCGTCGGCCGCGCGCACATGTCGAACTCTTTCCAAGACCTTCACCACCGACGCGAGGACGCCGTCATCGTCGTCGGCGTGATCAGCATCGGCGCCCGCACTGGCCGCGCTTTCGTCGGTGCGAACATCGTCACCAGCATCGCCACTATCATCATCGCGTTCCCCGTACTCGGCGTTGCCATGATACCGCGCCCGCCCAAGTCGCCGACTCGCAGTGAAGTGCCCGCTGGGCTGTGCTGAGCGGTTAGCGGCACCGCGTTCGCGTCGGTCGCGCCAAACTAGTTGGCCACTGCGCGCGCGTGTTACGGTTGGCGCGCCCGCAGAGATGCACCAACTAACGCCAAGCATCGGAATCGCTTCCGCATGGGTTTTGCAAACCAAGTTGCGGGTGGGTTGGTGGGATTTTTGCAAGAGCATGGGGTGTGCTTCATCTCATGGGTTCAGATCGAATGTGCCACGTAGATGCACCACATACATCCAGCTGCTTGCGGCAAGTCCCGCCACCGTGCCAACACAGTTTTCTGGGTGGCGGCTTTTCGAGGGGGCGCGTGAGGCCGTCATGTGTGACACCTCGTTTCTCCAGGCTTGGGAGAGCCGTGAAGAGGATGATGGTTTTTTTTGAGGATGCTGGGGGTGGTGATGATGATGATGATGATGATGATGGTGATGATGATGGGGATGCGGTTGATGTTGTTGATGATTGGTGGTGGTGGTGATGACGGCGATGATGATGTTGATGGGTATTGATGATGTCGATGATGATGATGATGGTGGTGATATTGGTGATTGTGGTGATGATGGTGATTCTGCCGTTGGCGATGGCAATGGTGATGACGATATTTGATGGTCATGGCGATGAGGTGATGATGAGACTGATGATGGCGATGCTGATTATAATGATGCCAATGGTGATGATGTTGCCGCTGGCGACGATGGCGATGATTATGGTGATGGTTTGAGGGAGTTTCTGTGGAACTCACGTCATCCTCACCCCCGGCGCGAAGAGCACGAGCCCAGAGCGGCCTCCGGCACCGTTTCCGGACAGATCCGGTGGATCCGGTGACGAATCCCAAACCGGCGCCCTCGCTTGAGACATCCTCACAAAACCGGCCCCGGGGGAGGTGCCCAGAGGAGCCCAGAGCGGCCTCCGGCACCGTTTCCGGACAGATCCGGTGGATCCGCTGGATCCGGTGACGAATCCCAAACCGGCGCCCTCGCTTGAGACATCCTCACAAAACCGGCCCCGGGGGAGGTGCCCAGAGGAGCCCAGAGCGGCCTCCGGCACCGTTTCCGGACAGATCCGGTGGATCCGGTGACGAAATCCCAAACCGGCGCCCTCGCTTGAGACATCCTCACAAAACCGGCCCCGGGGGAGGTGCCCAGAGGAGCCCAGAGCGGCCTCCGGCACCGTTTCCGGACAGATCCGGTGGATCCGGTGACGAATCCCAAACCGGCGCCCTCGCTTGAGACATCCTCACAAAACCGGCCCCGGGGGAGGTGCCCAGAGGAGCCCAGAGCGGCCTCCGGCACCGTTTCCGGACAGATCCGGTGGATCCGGTGACGAATCCCAAACCGGCGCCCTCGCTTGAGACATCCTCACAAAACCGGCCCCGGGGGAGGTGCCCAGAGGAGCCCAGAGCGGCCTCCGGCACCGTTTCCGGACAGATCCGGTGGATCCGGTGACGAATCCCAAACCGGCGCCCTCGCTTGAGACATCCTCACAAAACCGGCCCCGGGGGAGGTGCCCAGAGGAGCCCAGAGCGGCCTCCGGCACCGTTTCCGGACAGATCCGCTGGATCCGCTGGATCCGGTGACGAATCCCAAACCGGCGCCCTCGCTTGAGACATCCTCACAAAACCGGCCCCGGGGGAGGTGCCCAGAGGAGCCCAGAGCGGCCTCCGGCACCGTTTCCGGACAGATCCGCTGGATCCGGTGACGAATCCCAAACCGGCGCCCTCGCTTGAGACATCCTCACAAAACCGGCCCCGGGGGAGGTGCCCAGAGGAGCCCAGAGCGGCCTCCGGCACCGTTTCCGGACAGATCCGGTGGATCCGTGGATCCGGTGACGAATCCCAAACCGGCGCCCTCGCTTGAGACATCCTCACAAAACCGGCCCCGGGGGAGGTGCCCAGAGGAGCCCAGAGCGGCCTCCGGCACCGTTTCCGGACAGATCCGGTGGATCCGCCGACGAATCCCAAACCGGCGCCCTCGCTTGAGACATCCTCACAAAACCGGCCCCGGGGGAGGTGCCCAGAGGAGCCCAGAGCGGCCTCCGGCACCGTTTCCGGACAGATCCGGTGGATCCGGTGACGAATCCCAAACCGGCGCCCTCGCTTGAGACATCCTCACAAAACCGGCCCCGGGGGAGGTGCCCAGAGGAGCCCAGAGCGGCCTCCGGCACCGTTTCCGGACAGATCCGGTGGATCCGGTGACGAATCCCAAACCGGCGCCCTCGCTTGAGACATCCTCACAAAACCGGCCCCGGGGGAGGTGCCCAGAGGAGCCCAGAGCGGCCTCCGGCACCGTTTCCGGACAGATCCGGTGGATCCGCTGGATCCGGTGACGAATCCCAAACCGGCGCCCTCGCTTGAGACATCCTCACAAAACCGGCCCCGGGGGAGGTGCCCAGAGGAGCCCAGAGCGGCCTCCGGCACCGTTTCCGGACAGATCCGGTGGATCCGCTGGATCCGCTGGATCCGGTGACGAATCCCAAACCGGCGCCCTCGCTTGAGACATCCTCACAAAACCGGCCCCGGGGGAGGTGCCCAGAGGAGCCCAGAGCGGCCTCCGGCACCGTTTCCGGACAGATCCGGTGGATCCGGATCCGACGAATCCCAAACCGGCGCCCTCGCTTGAGACATCCTCACAAAACCGGCCCCGGGGGAGGTGCCCAGAGGAGCCCAGAGCGGCCTCCGGCACCGTTTCCGGACAGATCCGGGATCCGGTGGATCCGACGAATCCCAAACCGGCGCCCTCGCTTGAGACATCCTCACAAAACCGGCCCCGGGGGAGGTGCCCAGAGGAGCCCAGAGCGGCCTCCGGCACCGTTTCCGGACAGATCCGGTGGATCCGCTGGATCCGGTGACGAATCCCAAACAGGCGCCCTCGCTTGAGACATCCTCACAAAACCGGCCCCGGGGGAGGTGCCCAGAGGAGCCCAGAGCGGCCTCCGGCACCGTTTCCGGACAGATCCGGACAGATCCGGTGGATCCGCGCCCCGGGGGAGGTGCCCAGAGGAGGAATGAGGAGGAGGAGGAGGAGGAGGAGGAGGAGGAGGAGGAGGAGGAGGAGGAGGAGGAGGAGGAGGAGGAGGAGAAGATGATGGAGCTGCGGGGTGGAGGAGGACAGACGGAGGCAAGAGAAGGATGGAGGAGGAGGAGGAGGAGGAGGAGGAGGAGGAGGAGGAGGAGGAGGAGGAGGAACCTCATCCTCACCCTCGCCAACAAGCGCACGCACCTTCTTCTATATACAGAAACTCCCGATCAACCGCAGAGCGGCCGGCTAGTAATAATGCTGCTGATGATGATCCGTAAGGGCTTCGCCGCCTGCCGCCGGCCCCCTATCTCGGAGAATGCGCTATGCGAGAGCTATGTCATGAGGCCTGGGCGCTGTCGTGAAGCAGTATCGGAACTTCATGCGAGGCCGACTCGTAATCGGCAAAGCCAATTGACTTGTCGTGTGAGCCTGACCCCGCCGATCTGCGTGAGGGGTGCCACCGGATTTCACAAATGTGGCAAATCCCCTGTGCTTTTGGACCCTGACCTCGCCGATCTGTGTGAGGGGTGCCACCGAATTTTAAAACATTTGGCAAATCCTTTGTGCTTTTGGACCCTGACCCTGTCGATCCGCGTGAGGGGTGCCACCGAATTTCAGAACTGT